AAGATAAAAAATTATGCTCAAAACGACAAGAAAATAATGATAATTTAAATCAGGAATTATTGGATGATTGTAATATGGATACTAATAACACCGATAAAATGTCGACAGATGAAATTATATCTCCTCGTTCTATGAATCTTCCTATCTCTCAAAAAAATTTTCAAATCCTACTTGTTAATGATAATACTGATATCCGGTAATCTTTTATTTTTCTTTTATTTTTCTTTTAATAATTTAGGCTTTTTCAAGAATACTTTTACTCAACCGTTGTTTTTTTTTTTGTAGAGATTATCTGGCAGATTTATCGAATGAATTTGATGTACTTCGTGCTTGCAGCTGCCAGGAAGCCATACAGATTTTAAAAAATCTTGATAAACTGCCAGATTTAATACTTATCGGTAATTATTTTATTTTACCCAATTATTTGTTATGTGGCGTGTCGATCACTCCACAGCCAATCATATTCTAAAGTTCGGGTCACATGAATACGCCACCGCCTTATTTGAGACGGAACTATGTAACCATAATTCAGAAGAGTTATTTTGTTAGCTAAGATTCCATATATAACGTGACCCGAATATTTGCTTAAATTTGAAGTGAAGGCGGAATTGGTACACCCGAACTTTTGTGGCCACTCTGGAGTAATCATACTCACACATTAGGCAAAATGCTTTGAACAAAGATATTTCGAAGAAGATTAATTGTATACATGCCGTAAAAAACTATTGTGGCATGAGTTTCAGCCATGATCATGTTATGGCCAAAAGTATTTCGGCAAAAGTAATGTAAGCTGATTGGCTAAGATTATGCTGTCAGCTAATCCGGTGCCGCTCATTTCACCGACAGTCATTTCACCGAAAGTTCATTTAGCCGATATCACATGAGGGTTTTATTAGTTTCAGGTATATATTTTTAGTAAATTGTCACTTGGTGTGATGTCGGCTAAATGAGCTGTCGATGAAATGATTGTCGGTGAAATGATACAGATCCCAGCTAATCATGCCGCAGCAGCTGATCTAAGCCAATCAGCTTAATTATTTTTGCCTTGTAGTTGTGCCGAAATATTTTTGGTTATTACGTAGTCATGTCAGAACTCATGCCAAAATAGTTTCTACGTCATGTATAATTGGCTTTATATCTCCAATTAATTTTACGATAAAAAAAAATCTCCAAACCTTAAGCAAAAGTATCTTGACATCCATCCAACCCAATTCAATAAAAAATTTTCATTTATACTATAGATTCGTGGAGTCAAAAAAAATTTCATTTAATTTGATCTGGTGATTGCTGAGATATCCTCACTTAAGTTTTAAAAAATCCAAGTCTATCAAAATTGAAGCTGTGCAAATTTTTTTTAACTTCAAACGAATGATATCTCGGCAATTACCCAATGCCAGACCAATTTAATTTAGTGGTTTACGTTACCCCTCTCCTAAGGAAACTGACTATTTCTGAAATTTTTTATATTGTACGGAAAATTTTTACTATGCAAACCCCCTCTTTCAAAGTGGAGATGTAATGTAAACCACCGAATTAAATTGGTCTGGCCTAATCAAATTTGATGAATTTTTTTTTTTTTTAACTGAATTCTACAAATTTGTAGAATTTAAAATGTCAATGATATCTTTGCTTAAAGTTTAAAAAAAAATTTTAAAAACGTCTATCAAAACAGAAGCTATACCGAATTTTTAAACTTTAAATGAAGGTATTTCCGACAACCTAACTAAATTCGATATCACTCTACAGATTCATATATAGGATAAGAATATCAAATTCAGTGCGATTTTATTTTAATTTATTTTAATCCTAAAGATAATTGAATTAAAATAAAACAATTTTCGTCACATTTAATCAGAATATCTTCGTTAAAGTTTAAAAAATTTAGAACGGCTTCTATTTTGATATACGTTATGAGCCTTTTAAACTTTAAGCAAAGATATCATAACCACCACCTGATCAATTCAATAAAGCTTTTTTTTTTTTGTTTTGATTCTATGAATATGTAGGGCTAAATAAAATTTTTTATCGAATTGATCTGGTGATTGTCGAGATATCTTTATTCAAATTTTTTAAAAATTCAATTCACGGGGTATAAACTTAATCCTCTTTCAAATTTTGAAGAAATTGTTTATTGGTTTTGATCATTCCAAAGATATCTTTGTTCAAAAATTGAAATTTTTGCCACATAAATTTAGTCTGCTGGCATAATATGACTAAGCAGATTAGCCACGATTACCTTAGCCGGCTTAAAACATGAATCATTTACTATATTATTTAAACACGATAGATGTTATGCCGAATGGATGCGATTTATTAGATATACTAAAGTCCGATACAAAAACACAATCAATACCTGTGATCTTATTGTCCACAGAAGATATAGAAAAATCTAGTATTGATGGTAATCTTATTTACTTGTGACTATTGAAATTATTATCGTCATAATCTCATGCTGTATATTAATTTTTATTTATTACAATTTATTTTAGAATCTAATAAAAAAGCAAATGATTATTTAATAAAACCATTTACTGTTCAAGAGCTAATATCCCGTATTCATGTTAATATCGAACATTCACAACTTCTTCGGGAAATATTATTACAAAGAAATAAAAATGATGAAATAAATCAATTATTACTTTCAATTTCAAATAATATCCTTTCCGGAGTTAATTTAAAGGCAATTCTTTCTAATGTTATTAAAGAAATTCAACATATATTACCTTGTAAAAGAATTTCAATTATTTCTTTTGAACCAACTCATTTAATTGTTTCTTTATGTGAAGATTCATCAAAAGTTACAACGATAATCGAACCAATGATAGAAATTTGTAATAAAGATGAATCATTAACGACTATCAACTCATCGAAATTTATGAATAATAATATTGGAGTAGAAATTTTGACTGATGTATATTGTAAAGATAGTCACAAAAATGTATCTATATTATCTATAGAAATAAGAACGAATGATAATTGTTGTGGATGGATAAAGATATATAGATTACCAAATTCTATTTGGTTAAATTCTGAGATAGAATTATTACAACAAATATCAAATCAACTAAGTTTTGCAATTATCCATAATAAATTATTAGAAGAAGGTTTAGAACAAGATCTACAAATAAAAGTTGCTGAAGATGCGAATCAAGTCAAAAGTCAGATATTAGCTACTACTTCTCATGGTATAAACTATTATTATTATTATATTTTGCTATTTGCTATTATAGTTCTGATTTTTTGTTTTTTTTTAATTCTAATCGTGTTTTTTAGAATTACGAACTCCATTGGGTGCAATAGTAGGAATACTATCTTCTTTAGAGAATACTGGCTTGAATGATAACGATCAAAGGGACATGATAAATATTATGGCACGCGCTTCAGATGATGTACTGTCTATAATCAACACTATTCTAGATGCAGCAAAAATAGAAGCTCAAAAAATCACATTAGTGAACAGTCAATTTCACTTATTAAATTTATTATCGGATACAATTGAGACTTTTGGAGAAGATGCTGGAAATAAACAAATTGAATTAATTATGAACTGTGATGTAGATACTTTTCCAAGTTATGTTATAAGTGATCCTAAAAGGTAATTTAATTATTTAATGTCTTTTTTGCTACACTCTTTGAAATCGTAAGAGCATATTTTTTTTGTTTTTAAATATTAGGTTGAAACAAGTTTTAAAACATTTACTGCAAAACTCGTAAATATATTTTAAATTTTTGATTTTTATTCATATTACATAAATAATAATTTTATTTCAACTTTATTTAGTGTTAAATTTACCAAGAAAGGTGAAATAATTATGAATACTTTAATTCAATCACGAGAAGTTATCGATGAAAATCCAGAGAGTCCATCTTATGGTCAAACTATTAAAAAAGATTGTTTACTTATCGAATTACATGATACTGGAATTGGGTAAATTATCATGTAATGATATATTTTATGTTAAAAAAATTATTCATAAAAAAAATTAATTATTATTAATTCATACTTTTATAGTATTGATCCTGAATTTATTGAACATGTTTTTGAGAGCTTTTCAAAAGCTGATACATCAATAACCAGAACAGAAGATGGTACAGGTCTTGGTCTCTCAATTTGTAAAAATCTAGTAGAAATTAATGGTGGTGAAATTAAAGCAGAAAGTCAATTAGGAATAGGAAGTAAATTTTGGCTTACATGGAATATTGAATTATTAGAAAATTTGTCTACTTCTTATTTAGGAACATTATTTAATGATGAAATAAGTCATTTTTTACCACTTTCTATTAGATCAAAACGAATATTAATAATCCATCCTAATGAAAGTGTGAGAAATGCAATAACTAAATATTTTAAAGGTACCGAAAGAGTTGATGCATTTGAAACTTTTGATCAAGGTATTCAAAAAGTAAAAGATAATACAGAGTTATATAAACAATTCAGTTATGATATAATATTTATTGGACTTTATGAAAAAAATGAAGAGGAAGTAGTGAAAACCGTATCAGAATTAAGAAAAATAGAATTTAGTAGTAATAATTCATTAAATTCGTTAGTGATATTTATAGTATTCCCTAGTATTAAAGGTAAAGAATTGGCAGAGAGATTAATTAAAAATGTCGAAGGACAAATTAATATTCTTTATACACCACTTACATGGAAAAAGATGGTTTCTCAATTTTCATGTGCTGAGAATGATTTTAACAAACAAATTTGTAGTAAATCAAATATTATTAATGATTTAAATGTGAGTGGAAGTGATACTAGAAATATACCTGTTTCAAACAAAAAATGTATTTTATATGTGGTATGTCTTATTCCATTTTTATCTGTTATTTCATGAATAATAATAATTATTTTTTAAGAATTCAAATCTTATTCATATATTTTTCTAGGATAATAAAATTAACCTAAAGGTAATTATCTGTTAGAAACAATAGCAAGTTGGTTTTTTTTTTTTTTGTTAATTTTATAATACAATTTTTTTAGATCACATCGCAGAAAATTTCCGAACTTGGATATTCAGTTATCTCTGTTACTAGTGTTAAAGATGCAATAAATATTATTAAAACAGAGTTTGGAATAATAAATAATATTTGCTCAAAGACCAGCAGGATTTCAATGATTTTAATAGACTATAATTTAGTAAGTTTGTTAATTTACTTTGAATCTAAACTTATTACTAATTATATATTTGCATATCTAATATTATAATTTGCGTAAATTAGTCAAAACTATCAGATTCTAATATTTCGCAAGTAATTAGAGCTATGAGTTCACCAGTTTCAAATATACCGATCGTTGCTATAACAGATTTAATTACAGAAGAAATACGTAATAAATGCATTGATTCTGATATAAATGATTGCATTTTAAAATCTTCAAGTACAGAACAATTTGAGAAAATATTGATTCAATGGATCAGTAAAGATTAGTATTATTCTAATTAAAGTTTGTATGCTATCTATGTTTATTTATTATGATTTAAAATTTTGCTTATTAATAATATGCCCATATGCTTTTTTATATATATATTTTATTTTTATGCTTTATTTCTTTATAGTTAAATAGGTAATATTTTTTATATGTATAATAAGTTTTATAAAATTATATTGTTTGCTACCTTTTTTTTTATTAAAAAAAAAAAATATGTATGTTTATGTATAATTCAAGAACTACTTTGTATTAATTAAATATTATAATTATAATTTTTAAAATTTTAAAATATATTTTCTATAAAGAATTTATTTGAGAGTAACGGAGGTGAAATTAACCTGTATATATTTTTGATTATTTCTTAATAAAAAAAAAAAACGTTTTTTCTTTATCTTTAGGGTTAGGGTTATTAGAGTGTTTATTATATTGTAAAATTAAACGCTGAAAACTTTTATTTAGTGACACGAAGCAAGTTTCATAATATTAATGATTTTTAATTTTTTTTCTTCAAAATTTCTTTATTATCGTTATAAGAAGATCTAGCGATCTGATTGTTTAAACCTCCGGTGAGCGTTAAAATCGTCTTTATTAAAATAAATATTCGAAAAGTATCTCATGCTTGTGATGCACAATTAAATTTATTTGGAAATTAACTGACTAATAAGATCATACATCAGCGCTAGTGATGTACTCAGTTTGAAATCTAAGCTTTAATTACTATTCATTACTGTTAACTTTTCGGAATTATCTATTTTTTACTCACAATACTGTCTTATGAGAAACTATTATTATTTTACGGTTCGCAGAAAATTTTTGATAGTGAACAGTAAAAGATTTATACTTATATTAGTGCTTTTTTGATAACTCTGTGCACAGTGTATTAATTTTAGCAACGGCCGGTGGTTTTCCACCTGACTAAAACAAGCCAGCCGTCAACATTAAAATCGGGCCGCCATTAAGTATAGCAAATCACGGGTCTCCAAAATATCATGCTCGTGATAGAAATTACCTTTTAGGTTCTTTCGTTAATGCGGGCCGGCCTGAATTAGGGATCATATTAAAAAATTGCGCGCATACCCTCTCATCAGTGTTTTAAATAGCATAGTAAAAATCCGGATTATCCGGTATTTTGAGCGAAATTTGAGTTTAAAAAAAAAAAAAGGAAACTACTATTTCCACCATACGGCCGGAATTAGAATTAGAGTTAGGGTGAATCACATTTTGTAGCGTTAGTCATTGTTGTTATTTTATATGATTATCATAGTGGAAATAGCAAATTAACATGGTGGAAATAGTAATTCTCTAAAAGAATCATTAACCTATGAATTACGTTTTTCAGGTATTATTACATGATCGTATAACAGTGGGAAATTAACCTTATGACTAATCGTGATCAGTAACAATAGGCATCAGTGTTTTAAGTTTTCATATTTAAATTTGCTAACTAGCTAATTAAATTTAATAATTTTTTTTATTTTAATTACTTGTAACTGTATAATTTGATTAAAAAATTTTTTATCTTTTTTTTTTTTTTAACTTAGGTGATCTTACTTGTCATTTTATTAAGGAAAAACTAATGTAAGCTACAAGACAATTTACTATAAAATTTATATTACTCTTTTTTTAATTATTTCAAGCTTACTTAGCTGCTTTTAGGTACTCAAATATAATCTGCTACAGCACTATTTCTCTTATAGAAGCTTTAGTTTGCATTCACAAACTTTTGTTTTCTAATCTTGAAGAGGCTATTACTAGTTTATATCAAGATCTTTTATTTTATTTTAAAATATAACTATTCTTCTTTTTTATCTAATTTTACCTATTTTTTTATTTTGCTTAATATTTCTTCTTGAATTTTTGTTTCTTTTAGAAACTTAAGAATCTTATGTTTTCTTTGTCTTTGTTTATTTTTTTTATTTTTTTAGCTTTTTTATTCTTTTTTGTTATTATAATACTATGTTTTTTTTTCATTCTATTATAATTTTATAATAGAATTTTTATAATTATTCATAAAAATATTCTCAGAAGTGTTCTATAAAGTTAATTAAAATTTTATTTGTTTTGTTTATAAATTTAGTTATCTTGTATACTTGTTTTTGTTACTTATTATTTATAAAACCTCTTAAAAGCATCTTTTTGCAATTTAGCCTAGTACTAGTATCTTTACTATAAATTGCTTCTTTTAGCAAAATTTTATCTATTATTAATTTTAGCTTTGTTGAAACTTTGAGTTTTGTTAACTCCATTACTTCTTTTTCTAAATTATCTAATATATTTTGTATTTTACAATATAATAAAGTAATTTATCTTTCTTATAGCAGGCTATATATTTTTGGCTTATATATAATTTTGAGTTTTATTAATAGTATATATCTTTTATTAACAAGATATTGTTTATATATTTTATACAAAAAATAAGTTTTTTGCTCTTTTTCAAGCTAACTCTTTTTTTTTTTAAGAGCTTCTAAGTATTACTCTAGTTTCTTGATTCTGAATAATAATTTTACTATTTTGCTTAATTTTAACTATTCTATTTTATAATTTATTATAGTTATTATATTTATAAAAGATTATAATATATTATTAATAATTTGGTCTTTTAATTTAGAAATAAATATCGGATTTTTAAAAGATATTTCTAAAACTTTAAGAATATTGTTTGATATTATATCTTATTTAGCTAATTTATCTGCTATATTATTTTCTAAAATTCTACTATCCCTTAAACTGTTTAAATTTCAGGGCAAATTTGCTCTAAAAATTTCCGATACATTTCCGATACTTATGTAAATTACGAAAGCATATAAAAATATAGAATAAATGATACAAAACATTATATGACAATATAAAATTAATATTTATTTATTTCATTGCCCTTTATTTATGTTCATGATACTCAATAAAACAATCTGGACGTTGTTTATTGAGACATAATGGTACATTACATATTGTACACCACACCTGACTTTGCGGTGAATTTTTGTTGTGTTTTCCTTGCTCTGACATGTTTATAAATCGGCACCAAACACAAGAACCTCGTTGTTCACGATATGCTGGATAGTGACTTTGTGGATGCAACCGTTTAATCGGTAAGTCGAATTTTTTTGTTACATAAAATAGGTTTTTTGAAATTTGATCATCTTGTAGTTCTGACCGGATCATTGCTCTATTTTTTTGTGTATTAGATTGTTGGCTCATTTCTAATGATTCTTGAATTAAATCCCACACTAAATTTACTCTAAGATCTTTGTGCGTTATTGATGAATTCAAATTTTTTGAAATTAGAAAAGTGTTAACGATACTGATGTCTAAGAGCCAAAAAAACAATGGCATCCAAGTGCGACATACGGGAACCTGTGTACCATAATAACCTCTTAGCTAGTCAGCTATGTCTACGCCACCCATATGGTAATTGTAATCATCAATAATAACAGGAATCGGAAGTTGTTTTTTACTTGCATTACCGAACACACTACGTACCTTAACTGCATTGGTACTAGTTGTTCGTAGTCTTCTTCTTTCACGTTCTATTCGATTTTCTTCACCTAAAACTTCATGCACAGTCATTAACATTGTTACAGGACCATTGTCCATCCAAAATACAGTGAGCACATCATCTACCACAGCACTAGAAAGTGTGTCCCATTCAATTTTTTGGGATTTTTTAATTTTTAAAAATGTAGGAAATTTTGCAGAGTTAATTCTTACTGTTCCACAACCTCCATAACCATTTTTTCGCATATAACTAAATAAGTTTATGCTTGTAAAATAATTGTCCATGTAGATATCGAATGCCTTTTCCTTTGGGAGTTGAGATATTAAATGATAAACCTGACAGCCAATTTTACTAATATTTTCAATTTGAGGAATTTCAGGATTAGATTCAACACGTGAAGTAAAAATAAAACAATAAGTATATCCTGAATCACATAGGGAAAGTATTTTGTATCCCTCTGGTGTTGGCTTATTCTTAATCCGTACTGTATGGTAGCTTCTTCTCCGAAATCTAGCGACTATCTCATCAATTGAGACTTGTGATTTTGGTAGGTAAATTTTTTTAGAAACTTCACAGATATGCGTAGCCAAAGGTTCAACCTTCGAATACCATGGTAATTGTGACATTTTTGTTTCAATTTTTGCGATATGAAGATATCACTTTATCTTTTATTTTTTTTTAAAAAACAATAATAAATAAAAATAATTAAAATAAAGTTTAATGAATAACTAAAATAAAAAACATAACTTGTTCAAAACGAACTAGGGTCATGTATTTGGTAATTTTATGTTGCAGATATTTCTAATCTGTTTTCCAATAATCCTCCCTACTTGGTAGTTTAAAAATGCCTATATAAATTACTAGGGCCAACCATATTAATAATTCTTCAATTGTCAAAGAAACCTATTCACGTCCTTTACCAGCTGATTTTGCTATTGCATAATAATTTGTATTTTTAACAATAGTATTTAATTGTGAATTAGAAAAAAATTGCCGAAAAATTGAATATGGAGTAAGTTCACCAACAGCTAATTTGTCAGCTATTTTTACTTGAGAAGTATAATATGGTTTAGCATGTTGAAATTTTTGAAATTGCGGTGGTAATAGTAAATTAAACAAATTTGATTGAGGTATTTTTTTTTTTTTTACTTGATGATATTTATTGATTTTTTTTTATTTTTAATGTTTATAACTTCTTCTTCAGTTTCATCAGCAGTTGCTTCTTCAGTTTCATCAACGGTTTCTTCTTCAACTTCATCACTATTGTTATCAGTAATATCTCTAACTTCATTTGTAATTTTGTTCTCAATATTTCGTATAAGCTCAAAAATATATGAGCCTTTATCTTCGGTATCATCATCCATTGATATCTAAAAAATAATATTAAAGAAGTATGTAAAAAAGAAAATAAGTAAATGAATAAAAATAAAATAAAATAAAATAACAAAAAAAAAAAAAAAAAATTACGATGATCATGATCGACAAAGCTAATACTGCAATAGAAGACAATCGAACTTATCAAAAAAAAAAAGAACAATACTTTATGTAATACTAAAATAAATGAATTTCTAAATAAGTAAAAGTTAGAATTTTCCTATTAGATAAGTAAAACCTTAATTTTTATTGTGATACAAGTACTACATGAATTAACAAATCAAATTTCAAAATTTCAGGGCAAATTTGCAGGAGAAACGGTTTAAGGGATAGTTTTTAACTTTGTGTAGAATCATATCTAGATATTTCATCTTGCAATAGTCAAAATTTTGTTTTAGAATACTTCAGTTTTTTACTTTAATCTAGCTTTTTAGTTTGATCTCTTTTTAATATTTTTTATTGCTTTAATTACTACTTTGTTATTAGTATATATATAAACTTTTTTTTTATTATTACAACAAGGCCTTGATACTAGTTAATTTTTATTAGATTATTTGTAGGTTTATATTAATTAATAAAAGTACAATTAGATATATATACAACTTTAATTATTGTCTATTTAAAAATTCTGTCTAAAGGTTACTTACTAATTGTCAACCTAGTACTTATTTGTAGCTACTCTATTTAAACTCTCTGATATTCTATTATCTCTAATATCAATTTAATTTTATTCTTAAATCTGTATAATATTGTACTACCTTATTAAGAACTACTCAAACTAGCTTGTACCTTAAATTCTCTATTAAGAAGGCCCTATCTCAAGGTATTCTATTAATTCTCTTTAAAAAAGATCTGCAAAATATTCTAACTATATTATGCTATATCCTATTTTAAGCTAATATATATCTTTATAGATATTTATATAAATCTAGTTCCTACTATAACTCTCTACCAGATTAGTCTTCTATATTTTTTAAATATTTTACAAGATAGATCTTTTCAAATCTAGTTATCTACTAAGCTAAATTAGTATTGTTGCTAATACAAAGCATCAGACTGTATTATATAGTAGATTTACTTATACCTATTTAATCTGCAATCTTTATACATAGATTTCTTTTCTAGATTAACTGTTAACTAGTGTAATTATTAAAATCTATACTATTTTACCTAATTCAGGATTTTTACTATATAGATTCTCTACTTGTAGATTCTATTTAGATTTATTCATATAATATAACTCGAATATTATATCATACTTCTAATATCTATTTGATATTAGTACAATATAATTTATAAAGTTATAACCTCTAAAAATAAACAGAGTTACTATAAGTTGAATACAAAGATCTAAGTAATTATTTAAATTTGTCAATAGTAGGATTTGAACTTTAGACCTCTTGTATAGTAGTTTAGTAATCTAACTACTATACTAAGATTACTAAACTCTATATATATAAACTTTAAAGTTAATAGATACTACTAGTATAGTAGTTCAATAGCATCTAGTTTTATATAAGTTAAAGAAAGCTAGTTTTCTATACTACTATTAAATTAATATTATTATATATTTTATTTCTTTCTTTAAAAACTCAACTTATTTTTATCTTATTTATATTTTATATACTATTATCTGTTGTTATAACTCTATTTATATAAAATTCTATATTTTTTTTTTTTTTTAGTTTGTAGTTTAAATTAATTAAGTCTTTTTGTATTTTTTGTCTTTCACTAATCTTTATATAATTATACTCTTAAAGTTACTTGTTATAATTTCTATACTAACTTCTTAACTAGATCTTTTATCTTAGAATATATTCTTTTTGTTTGTGAGTACTAATATTAGAGCTTTTAGCTTTAATAAATCTTTTTTTTAAATACTTTTACTATTTAATACTATTTTTCATATTTAAGGTTAATTAAATAACTATTATTATGTTGACTAACTCTTTCCGGCGATCACTTGTACCAAATTCTCTTGAAAAAAACTTGCAATATCTTAAAATTCTACTAAATAA